CAGCACAGAGCGGCCAAGCCTGGCCCTTTGTAAATATCGGATGGATGGAAACAATGAATGGAGCTTCTATATTCAATGCTAAATAGCAGTAGACCCTTTCTGTGCCCTAGTGACAGTGATGACAAGACAATTGAGAGAACACAGAAATCCTTAGAAAACCCACGGCATGGGGGGGGCGGCAGGATCGTCTGGGCTTGAATGAACACAGTGTATGTGTTTGTAGGGGGTGCTGTCAGTGAGCTCATACACTACGTTTGAGTTTCCAGCCCTAATCACAGAAGGGAATCTGGGTGTCTTTGTCCTTAAAACATTTCATCAAGTGATGCTTAGAGATTCTCTGGCTCCTCGGAAGGCAATTTAGCTCAAGTGTAAGAATAAAGGGGTAAGTGTTGTGCAGCCTCGCCCCCCCTCCACCCCTGCACAGCTCCCCTCTTTCACTGACTCTGGTTGGTGGCAGTGAGGCACAGAGTGGCTGTTCCCAGCAGAGATGTGTTATCTTGATAGGATGGGACATTCTGGCTGGGCCCCAGGTATAACAATAAGCATACAGCACATTCAGATACATTTGAACTTCAGGCGAACAACAAATACTTTTCTTTTTCTTGGTACAAGTATGTCCCCAATTTTGTGCAAGACATATTAGCAACTGTATGAGTCATGGTTCTCCAGAGAAATAGAACCAATAGAATGGAGAGAGAGATGCACACAGAGAGACAGACAGAGAGACAGGAATTGGTTCACAGCCATGGGAGCTGGCAAATCTGAAGTCTGCAGGGCAGGCTGGAGACCCAGGGAAAAGTTGCAGCTCAAGTTCAAAGGCTATCTGGAGACAGAATTCTCTCTTTTTTTTGGGGGGGGGGGGAACCTTGGTCTTTTCTCTTAAGGCCTTCAACTGACTAGTTATGGCCCACCCACACTACATAGGCTTTTCTGCTTTACTCAACTCAACGAATTAAATGTTCATTACATCTTCACAGCAACATCTAGAATCATATTTGACCAGAAATCAGCACCATGGCCTAGCCCCATGGACACACAAAGTCAACCATCACAGGGTTGTTTATGTCTTGTCAATCTGAAATTCAAGTTTGACTGTATTTTTTTTTTTTTTTTGTAAATGGATGGTCACAACAAAAGCAACAATGACTGCAATTACCAAACACAAAACACACTCACACTATATCATAATATTGACATTCAGTCCAAGAATCCTCCACTGTAACAGCTCCTTTACTTTGCAGTGAAAATTGATTTGTATATTTTTTGCCTCTGAGTCCTTGTGGGATTTTTTTTTTTATTCAAACAGAAAGTCACAAAAATTCTAATCATCCTCACCAGTTCACTCAGTCCCATTTAATTAATTTTTTTTTCATCTTGATCTTTTGTTAGCACTTTTCTGAATTCATCAGTTTTCCATTAGAGTTCTGAAAATGCTTATTCATTCAGTTCAGCAGTATAGTCAGTTACCAGAAGGTTTGACCGTATTTTATTTGACACCCAGGCCTGCCGTTCATCTGTACGGGCCTCAAGAACAGCTCTACTCCCTCCAGAGAAGCACCTGGCTGAGTGGGCACCTTCATGGAGCCCTGTCAAGGGAAATGGAATGGGATTGTCCCCCCACTTCCTTCTCTGTGGTGTTCAAATGGGGAAGAGTGTGTCAGAGGCCAGGTATGAATCATTCTCCGCCCACGCTGGGCCAGCATCCCCGCGGGAGCAGAGGCAGAGGGGAGGTAATGAGATCCAGCTCTGCAGAGATGTAAAGGTGATTCATCCCCTCTGGAGAAAAAAGCTTCTCTGCAGGCTGAGAACGTGTTGGGTTTGGAGTAAAGGTCTGTTCAGGTCTCATGAATGGAAGAGAATTTTCCAGCAGGGGGCTGGGGATGGCTTAACACATTCAAGGCTCTTTTAGTAGCAAGTAGCAGAAATCAACAGCCTTAAGTGAATTTGTTGGCTCTTGACCCAGAGAAGTTTCAGAAGCAAAAGTGCCAGAGCTCAGCCTGCTTCTTAGAACTGTGATCCTGAGATCCTGGATCCTGGAGAGGAAAAATCAACCAGACAGCAGGCGTTGCATTCTGCCCATTTGACAGAGGAGGAAGCTGGATGCCAGAGTTGTTAGATCGCACAGCTATTCTTACCCTGCATCCTCCCTAATAAGAGATCAAAAAAAAAAAAAAAAGAATAGAGTTAACTGTTAGGACGGAGAATCAGCGTAATGCTCAAAATTTTCAGACTCATAGAAACGAACCCAACAGTTGACTTTCAAATAGCATTTAATGGGTGAAGTGGCATTGTATTTACTTTCTATGCCACAAAACAATATCACCACACACTTAGTGGCTTAAATCAACACACATCTATTACCTCTCGGTGTCTGTGGGTCGGGAGTCTGGGCACGGCTTCGCTGGGTCTGCTGCTCAGGGTCTCCCACAAGACAGCAATCAGGGTGTCAGTCGAGGCTGCCGTCTCATCCAAAGTCTCAACTAGAGAAGGAGCCACTTCCCAGCTCACAGGGTTGTGGGCAGAATTCAGTTCCTTGTGGTTGCAGGACTGAGGGCCTCAGGTCATGGCCGCCATCTTGGATTCTGTCTACCATGGCGTTCCTTCCATCTCTCAGGGGCTGACGAGCTCTCAGGTTGTGTTTAGTGGGCCAGTTTACCGTGGTGCGGTATTTTGTGGGCCACCCTGGGGTGAATCCACTGCCCCAAAGAGAGTGAGCCGCCAGCAGGAGGAGGAGGCTTCTCTTCCAGCACCTGCATTGTGACACCAGGGCAAACTCTGACATTCATGTTTGCGAATCCTCTTCCGCGTCAAAGCATTAGTGATGACTCATCAGCTGGGGATGGCCTTATGCAGGATGGGCAGATGTTTCTAAAGGGCCAGAGAGTAAATATGCTTAGCGTTGCAGTCCAGATCAGTCTCTGTCTTGACCACCCAACTCCACCATTGCATCACGAAGGCAGCCAAAGATAATATATACCTCTGGGTTTCTCAGACTCAGCACCACTGATACCTTGGGCTGGATCTTTCTCTGTGTGGGGCCGTCCTGGGCACTGTGGGTATTGAGCAGCATCCCCGGTCCCCACCCATCAAATGCCGGGGGCACCCCCAGTCGCGGTAACCCAAAATGTCTCCAGACATCACCATGTGTCACCATTGGGGGCAAAATTGCTCCCAGTTAGGAACCACTGATTTCATCAAGTGGACGTATCTGTGTTTCAATAAAACTTTATTTATAAAAACAAGGTGTGAAGCCAGCCAACCCTGGACTAGACATGTACCTTTAAGATGAGGTCAGGACTTCCCTGGTGGTGCAGTGGTTAAGAATCCGCCTGCCAATGCAGAGGACACGGGCACCACAACTACTGAGCCTGCTCTCTAGAGCCCACGCACCACAACTAGTGAGCCCCCGCGCCACAACTACTCAACCCCAAGCGCCTAGAGCCCATGCTCTGCAACAAGAGAAGCCACTGCAGTGAGAAGCCCACTCACCGCAGCTAGAGAAAGCCCGTGTGCAGCAACAAAGACCCAACGCAGCCAAAAATAAATAAATAAATAATAAAGATCAAGTTGAGATCTGACCCAAAAAAAAGATAGAAGAGGTCAGTACACCCTGGGGCTGTGTTGCCAACCACAATGCATTTAGAAAACGGTCTGATTGTGTTCTGTCAACTGGGCACACCTGGGAAACCAAAACCCAATGCAGGTGACTATTCCACAAGCCGTATTCGTTCAACAAATATCTGAGTGTCCTGTGAGTCTTTTGTGATGAGGATTTTCCAGGGGGATGGATGGATGTGGAATCTCAGGAAAAGCTGGTTGCAGAGAGGAGACTCCCTGAGTGTGACAGAGGGCCGTCTGTAGCTGGGGGTGGAAGAGGTCAAGAAGGCTTCCTGAAGGAGGAGACATTAACCCAGACCAAGAGTGGAGGGGCTGCTTCAGACACCCCATGAGCAGAGATGGAGGGGTGGATGGTGGGGCCTGGAGGGGGGGCGGTCTACCAGACAACCCCCACTTCACCCCAGTCTCACCATGAGAGAAACACGAGACAGACCCCCAAAGAGAGACATTCCGCAAAATATCAAGACCACCCAGGGCATCACAAAGTCCGAGAAACCATCATAGCCCAGAGAGGTCACAAGGACATGTGATGACTGTCACATGGGATCCTGGATGGGGTCCTGGGACAGAAGAGGAAATTAGAGGGAAACTGAGGAAATCTGAATACACTGTGGACTTTGGTTAGTAATAGCGTATCAATATTGGTTCGTTAAGGGACTTCCCTGGTAGTCCAGTGGTTAAGACTCCAACTTCCACTGCAGTGGGGCACGGGTTCGATCTCTGGTCAGGGAACTAAGATCCTGCATGCCGTGCAGCCAAAAAAAAGAAAAAAAAATGGTTAATTAATTGTGACACACGTACCAGACTTTATATTAGGGACGCTGGGTGTGAGTTATGTGAGATCTCTGTGCAATTGTCTCAGTCACCTCAAGCTGCCGGAACAAATAGCATAGACGGAGCAGCTTAAACAGCAGACATTTCTTCTCTCCCACTTTTGGAGGCTGGAGGTCCAAGATCCAGGTGTCGGCGGTGTTGGTTTCTGGTGGGAGCTCCCTTCCTGGCTTGCAGACGGCTGCTTCCGGAAGGAACACAGCCTTCCACTACTTAGAACTCTGACCTCCAGAACCGTCAGATAATAAATCTGTGTTCCTTTAAGCCACTGGTTTGTCGTCATTTGTTATAGCAAGTGCCGGAAACTCATACATGCTCTTCCCAGCAAGGGCCCCGTGGGGATCCCGCGTGTGCCAACCCAGCCAGCAATCATGTTGAATCCGTTTTTATGTTTTGCGTGGAGCCCCCGACGCCTAGGGCGCTGTTGATGGCTGTCACGTCTGCACAAGGAAGACCCTTGCTTAGGGAAAGAGAAACGCCCCCAGCTCTGACCTCCTTTTTCTCTCTGTTTTCTGCTGGCTTCCAGGTTGCCGTCCCCACGTCTGGGAGCCATGGAGCCCACCGCCGGTGACTTACAGCTGGTGCCCAGGGCAACCAAGGACATCCAGCCTACAGACGCCGCATGCTGCCGGGCAGCCCTCTCGGCCATGGTGGCCACCAGCATCGTCATGGTCACCCTGGGAGTCCTTGTGGGTGAGTGGCCACAGACTTGCACGGGTCCACACGGCAGGCAGCTTGCACTAAGATGCCTGGGAGTGGCTCAAAAGTGTCCCAGAGCAAAGGGCTGAGCATTGCAGTACACAGAGGCCACCCAACAGCAAGGCGATGGGACCGGGTTCTGAGTGTGGCTGCGCTTAGTCCTGGGCTAGGCGGTGGGTGCCTGGGTGTCGAGGCAATACCTGCAAATTTCAGGTTTCCCACCAGTGGGATTCTTTATTTTTTTTAATACCATGTGTTTGATTTTGTTTTTTTTAATATTTATTTATTTTTTATTTGGTTGCGCTGGGTCTTAGTTGCTTAATGAAGATTCACAACCGGGGTGAAATGGAGACCAGTAGGGAAATGAACTTTTAAAAAACCCTTGAGAGGGGCTTCCCTGATGGCACAGTGGTTAAGAATCCGCCTGCCAATGCAGGGGACATGGGTTCGAGCCCTGGCCCAGGAAGATCCCACATGCCACGGAGCAACTAAGCCCGTGCGCCGCAATTACTGAGCCCACGCGCCACAACTATTGAAGCCCACCTGCCTAGAGCCCTTGCTCTGCAACAAGAGAAGCCACCGCAGTGAGAAGCCCACACACTGCAAAAAAAAAAGTAGCCCCCGCTTGCCGCAACTAGAGAAAGCCCACGCACAGCAACGAAGACCCAACGCAACCAAAAATAAAAATAATAAATAAATAAATTTATAAAAGTAAAAACCTTGGGCTTCCCTGGTGGCGCAGTGGTTGAGAGTCCACCTGCCGATGCAGGGGACACGGGTTCGTGCCCCGGTCTGGGAAGATCCCACATGCCGCGGAGCGGCTGGGCCCGGGAGCCATGGCCACTGAGCCTGCGCGTCCGGAGCCTGTGCTCCACAGCGGGAGAGGCCACAACAGTGAGAGGCCCACGTACCGCAAAAAAAATAAATAAATAAAAAGAAACAATAAAATAAAAACCTTGAGAAATTTGAAAAGTCCCCAGAAGTATAAGTGAGCAGTCGTTGACTTTCCCACCTCCCACAGTCAAAAGTGGCTCCCACTTCATGTTTGCTTCTAACGTACGTACATTCATATTATTTACAATGAAACATATGAAATGATGACCTGTGGTGAATGCTGCGAGGCTGCAGTTATAAGAACACACAAAGGAAGGTCTTTTTATGTCAGTGGAAGGGTCCACAGAGCCCTGCCGCCTGCATAGAATTCCAGAGCTGCCCCACACCTCGACGTGGTAGCCCTGAGCCACGGCGCTGTTTAGACTGAGTCAGCTTAAATTAAATAACAGGTAAAGTCCAGTTCCTCCGTCCCCACCAGCCACATTTCACGAGTAGTTCGTGGCTTCTGCAGGGGATACTCAGATCTAGAACCTTCCGTCATCAGGGGAAGTTCTGCTGGGCAGCCCTGCTCTGGACTGGGCTCCTTCTGAGATGAGCTTGCTAGTTCTGTGTGGGAATGTAAAGGTCACCTTTCGTCCTTAACATGCTCATGGTAACTGGCAGTTTGGGGGGAAAATGCTGTCATATGGCAAAATAATAAGTTGGTAATCCAATGTGGGATGTATATTTTTTAAATATATATATTTAAAATGTATTTTTAAAAATATATTTAAGGGGCTTCCCTGGTGGCGCAGTGGTTGGGAGTCCGCCTGCCGATGCAGGGGACACGGGTTCGTGCCCCGGTCCGGGAAGATCCCACATGCCGCGGGGCGGCTGGGCCCGTGAGCCATGGCCGCTGAGCCTGCGCGTCCGGAGCCTGTGCTCTGCAACGGGAGAGGCCACAACAGTGAGAGGCCCGCGTACCGCAAAAAAATATATATATATATTTAAGATATATATACTATATTTAAATATATATATTTGTGAATATCTGGAATAAGTCAGAGGCTGGCACGGCTGACAGAGGCCCTCTAGTGGCTGTGGGGTGAAATGCATGAAAATTGGGCTCTGTTGGTGGGTGGGGGGTGGCCGTGTGTTCGTGTGTCCATGTGTCCTCACGCTACGGAGAGACAGGGGACAGTTGCACACCTCCAGTCTAGAAGCACAGCTACATTTTGGGATAACAGGTAGATAGAATCTCCAGCAGGACCTCTGAAACTGAGGAAGGCTCTAAGAAACACTTAAAATTTAAAAACAATTTTTAAATTACAATTCAAATTTGTCCCCTTCCCAGACAGCTCAAAATTTTATTTGGAAGTATAAAATTTTACACGGGCCCTTGCTGGGCTGTTTCTCCAGTTGCCTGGGAGCCCATGGTTATTTCAGAGGGAAAGTGTGAGGCTTATTTGGGGCCCAGAACATAAGCACATGGGTCTACACAGCAGGGTTCTTGTTTTCTTTCTTTTTAGTTCCTTGCATGAGGAAACACACCAATTTTAGAATTACTTTAGACTCTCTATCTATTGAATAAACAAATATCTAAATATCGAGCTGGTTGAATATTCATTCAAATAAATAGAGCTGGGAGCCAGTTTTCACAGTGTAGGTGGCTGCTGCTTCTATTTCTTAATTTAAAAAAATTTTTTCAAGTTTTTTGGTTTTTTTCTGGCCATACCACATGGATTGTGGGATCTTAGTTCCCCGACCGGGGATTGGACCCAGGCCCCAGCAGGGAAAGCGCTGAGTCCTAAACACTAGACCACCAGGGAACTCCCTACTTCTAGTCTTTTAATTTTGTAATTATGATCATTTTTGACTGACGGACCCCTTTGCCAGTCTCACATATTTTCGACAGTTAGAAACACGTGTCTTCATGTATCACGTAGGGTTGTATTCTTTACAACATTGTACGACGGTTCGGAAACTATTATTCAGAGGGTGGTGTCATGGGCCGGGGTTCGAGGGTCCTGGCACCCCTGGCTGTGCCCCTGGGGTATTTGGTGCCCCTTCCCAGGGAGGAGGTGGGAATTGTCCCAGAGTCGAGGGAAGGTCTTCCTTCTGAGGCCATTTCAGCCATTTTTGGCTAGGATCCAGTCCTCCCCTTAGGGAAACCTGGGGATGCCTGGGGCTTTGGGTACCTGGGGGCCTTTGGGTGGGTGATGGGTGAGAGCTGATAAGGGAGCACTGTTAATAATCACTCAACCCCCGGGAAGTCAGCCCACCCCCCGTTTTTTGGGGGTGACCACCCCAGGGTGATGGGGGGCCTCAGAGGCCGGCTTGACTGAGCCCTGCCCCTGCAGGTGGGCGCTCTCACGGGGCCCTGGTCTTGTCCGCAGCCTCCCTCTCTACACAGGGTGTCAACGTGGAGCACACAGCCGAGCTGCGAGGGATCCGGTTTGCCCCCAGCTTGCAGCAGGAGACCTCAGACTATTACCGCATGCTGACGCCCACTCTGGAAACGCTGGTGAGGGTTCTGGGAGCCAGGGGGGCCACGTGGGAGGCCAGGGGCTCTGACTGAGGCAGCAGAGCAATGGGAGGCCCAGGTAGCCTCTGAGGTAGGGAGGGGGCCCCATGGGGTGAACAGGGCAGGGGCTGATGCATTCCAGAATGCAGGGGAGGGTAGCATTCGATGGGAACTGACTGCTGCAGGATCCGTAGGCCACGTTGAAAGGTTGTAAACTGCATTTCGGTAGAGAAATCAGAACCCTCCTACGCGGCTGGTGGGAATATGAAAAGGGGCAGCCACTGTGGAAAACCGTCTGGCAGTTTCTCCAAACGTTAAAAATGGAGTTACTATCTGACCCAGCAATTCTGCTCCTGGGTGTCTGCCCCAGAAAAACAAAACCGTGAGTCCACACGGAAACTTGCACACGAATGTTCATGGCAGCGTGATTCATAACGGCCCCAAAGTGAAAGCAGCCCACATGTCCATCGACAGACGATGGATAAACAACTGTGGTCCCTCCACACATGGGAGCATCACTCAGTCACGCGAAGGGGTGAAGCCCTGACACTCGCTACAACGTGGACGGACCTTGAGAACATGATGCTCAGTGAGAGAAGCCAGACACAGAAGGACACACAGGGTGTGACTCCACTGATGGGAAACGTCCAGAACAGGCAGATCCACAGACACAGACAGTGGGTTCCTCGTTGTCAGGGGCTGGGGAGAGGATGGGGGTGACTGCTGATGGGAATGGGGCTTCTTTTGGGGTCATGAGAATGTTTTAAAATTGTGATGAGGTTGTACAACTCTGTGAATATACTAAAACCCATCTAATTGTACACTTGTCGAAGGTGAGTTTTTATGGTAGGTGACTTTTAAAACATAGTTTAAATTTTTATCCTAAGGGAAAGAGAAAGGTGACTAGGTAAGGATTCATTTTAAATGTGTGATAAGATGTGAGAGAAGCAGGGGGACAGTTAGGAGTCACCATCGTCTAGACCAGGAGTCAGCAAACTTTCCCCGTAATAGGGCCAGATGGTCAATATTTTTGGCTTTTGGGGGCCAGAGAGTCTGTCTTGACTGCTGGGCCTTGTGTTGTAGCCTGAAAGCCGCCATATATGACGTGGATGAGTGGGTGTGGCCGTGTGCCAATAAACCGTTATTTATGGACACTGAAATTTGCATTTCATACCATTTTCATGCACCGTGAAATATTTTTCTTTTGTTTCTTTTTTACATTTAAAAATGTAAAAACCATTCTTGTCCGTGATCTTTGCAAAAACAGCCAGTGATTCTAATTCAGCACATGGGCCGTATTGCTAATCTCAATCCCGTATCTTAAAGCAGCAAGGTCCAGTAGAAATGTAACAGAAGCCCCATGTGTAATTTAACATTTTCTGGTAGCCACTTTTTAAGAAAAAAAAAGTAAAAAGAATCAGGTAAGATTATTTTTAATAATACATTTTATTTAACCCAGAATATCCAAAATGTTATCATTTCAACATGTCATCAACCTATATAAAGCAGGTATTAATGAGATATTTTACATTCTTTCCTTTGTATTGAGGCTTCCAAACCTGGTGTGTCTTTTTTTTTTTTTTAAGTTTATTTATTTTTTGGCTGCGTTGTATCTTTGTTGCTGCAAGCAGGCTTTCTCTAGTTGCGGTGTGTGGGCTTCTCATTGCGGTGGCTTCTCGTTGCAGAGCACCGGCTCTAGGCGCACAGGCTTCGGTAGCTGTTGAACCCGTGTCCCCTGCATTGGCAGGTGGATTCTTAACCACTGCGTCACCAGGGAAGTCCCCCAAACCTGCTGTGTCTTTTACACTCACATCTCAGGGTGGATACTGAGCTTCCACTGGGAAAACTCCATCCCTACTTAGCATTTGTAACGTTTACAGACCCAAGATGCTCCAGATATACTTAAGAATTTTCCAGTGACTGAATCAAGTATCCGTTTTGAAATTGAAGCGTGAATTCATTAAAATTGAACAAAATGTGAAAATCAGTTCCTCTGTGGCACCAGCCACATTTCAAATGCTCAGTTTCTACATATGGCCGGCGGCTGCCATATGGGGTGAGGCAGGTGCAGAACATTTTGGAAATATGTGGAATGTTCTACAGGACAGTGCAGGTCTGGGTGTGGGCTATGGGGATGTGGACTCAGAGGGTGCGGTTCAGAGAAGCAAATTGGATTGAGGGTGTTTTAGATGAGCGGATGAACGGGCGTGACTGTGCATCACGTGTGTTTAGGGAGCGAGGATGGTGACCGTAGGATTTAGCACCTAAGCAGGACATTCTGCCAGGGGACAGGGACGCTGTCAGTGACTACATTGGGAGAGCAGATGAACGGGGTTACATGGTCACCCTACGTGTGGGTGACGTGGGCTGCCGAGGGGAGAGATGTGGGCCCTTCGGTGCCCAAACTGAGACAATCCTAGGAGACGCGGACAGTGGTCACCCTAACAGCACATGAAGGACGAGGACCTTCCTGATAGCATCTGCGTGCACAAAGTGGGCTCAGCCACAGAGGGTTTTTTTAATGTAAAATTCACATAAAACATAAAATTATCCTTTTCTTTATTATTATTTTTTTCTTTTGGCCACGCTGTGTAGCTTGTGGGATCTTAGTTTCTCAACCTGGGATTGAACCCGGGCCCCCGGCAGTGAAAGCGCCGAGTCCTAACCACTGGACCACCAGGGAATTCCCTAAAATTATCCACTTTTAAAGTGACTGATTCGGTGGCATTTAGTACATTCACAAAGCTGTGCAACCATCACCTCTAATTCCAGAACCTTCCATCACCCAAAAAGGAAACCCCACCCTCATCAGCAGTCACCCCCTCCCCCTCTCCCGCAGCCCCTGACAACCAGGAACCCACGCTCCGTGTCTACGGATCTGCCTGTTCTGGACGTTTCCCATCAATGGAATCACACCCTGTGTGTCATTCTGTGTCTGGCTTCTCTCACTGAGCATCGTGTTCGCAGGGTCTGTCCACGTTGTAGGAGTGTCAGGACTTCACCTCTTTTCATGGCTGAGTGATGCTCTCGTGTGTGGAGGGACCACGTGGGGTTTCTCCATCATCTGTTGGCGGAGCTATATTTCCATAGGCACGACTTCGAGATGCCTGTCCTGTCTCTTAGTTCTGTGAGTTGGCCGCACACATGGAGTTGAAGAGGAGATGCTTTTCCACCCCCTTCCCAGCTGTCCCCCCGAGGAGTCTCCGCAGAGTCTCACATTTGCCACGGTTGTTTCTGTTGTAGTTTGTCAGCAGCTTTCGGGAGACAGAGTTGGAGGCCAGCTGTGTGGGCTGCACAGTGCTCAGTTACTGGTGAGTTGGGGCCTCCTTGGAGGTGGAGGAAGCTTGGTGGTTGCCTGAGAGACTGCAGAAGATTCCAGCCAAGAGGCGCCCTCCCTCTCAAGGGCCAGTGTCCTCCCCGCAGGGCGGGCAACGCCAGCATCCTGGTGCGTTTTCGGCTGCACTTTATGCAGCCGGCCCTGTGGACACCGAGCCTGGGCCTGGAGGAGGAGCTGCTGCAGCGGGGACTCCGAGAGAGGCTGCAGGGCCGCGGCATCCCCCTGGCCCCCTATGGCACCATCGTGTCCGCCCAGCTCACAGGCGAGTGGCCCCAGAGACAGGGCGACGTTGGGAGGGGCTGGAGGGACATGCTGGGGAAGGGGAGCCAAGTGAAAGTCGCATTAAACTCAAGGTTTTCCATAATCGCCCCCGTGGTGACAAGGAAACATATACCCATTGCTTTACCCTCTATGGTCTAGACCAGGGGGCGGCAACCTATAAATATTTTCATCTTTGCCACCCATTGGGTCTCTGTCCAGATGGCTCAACTCAGCTATTATAGCACAAAAGCAGCAAAGACACTATATAAACAAACGGACACCACTGTGTATCAATAAAACTTTATTTACAAAAACAAGTGGTGGGCCGGATTTGGCTCCTGGCCCCTGGTATAGAAATAAGGGTAAATGTTATGCTCTAAAATTCTAAGATTGCTGTGCGTTGTGATTTGAGAACCAGGCATGAGGTCAGACTGCTCAGATTTTAAAATTGTTGCCTTGACCTTGCCCTGCAGGACATTTACAGTCCCCTCTCCACCACTCCCGACACACTCAGTGAGTCTCAGTAACCTCGCCAGCACTAAGAGAGCTTTCTGAGGGGATGGAAGTGTTTTGGGTCGGTGCCATCCACTCTGGCAGCCACCTGCCCCACGCGGCTGTTGAGCTCTTATCGTGAGGAATGGAATATTTCATCTGATTTCATCTTTGCTGATTTAAGTCAGAATTTAAGTGGATCCCAGCGCAGACCACTGCTTTGCAATACGATGTTGTCAGAGAACCTCAATGCTTGCTAAATGAGCTTATATCTCTTCTCCGTTTTGCCGCAGGAAGCCAGAAAGAGCTGCTGACAGAAAGAGACTTAAAATCAGGTATGTTTTGTTGAATGGGTAAAGAAGATGTGGTATACATGTGTACAATGGGATACTACTCAGCCATAAAAAAGGATGAAATAATGCCATTTAAAGCAACATGGATGGACCTAGAGATTATTATACTAAATGAAGTAAGTCAGAGAAAGATAAGTATCACTTATATGTGAAATCTAAAATATGACACAAATGAACTTGTCTACAAAACATAAACAGATTCACAGACATAGAGAATAGACTTGTGGTTGCCAAGGGGGAGGGGGGTGGGGGAGGGAAGGATTGGGAGTTTGGGATTAGCAGATGCAAATTATTACATATAGGATGGATAAACAACAAGGTCCTACTGTATAGCACAGGGAATTATATTCAATATCCTGTGATAAACCATAATGGAAAAGAATATGAAAAAGAATGTATATCTGTGTGAGCAGACAATTTAAAAGTGAGGCACTTTGAATTATTCAGAGCCAAGCATGATTAAGAGGAGGCATTATTGTTTTTGTTTTGTTTTTAAGTGATGGAAAGTTGTTATTAAAAGAAAAGACAAAAAACAATTTGGGGGAAAAAAAAGAAAAAAGAGTAGATATCACCTGGAATCTCATTGCTTTTACTATTTTGGTGACTTTCCTCCCAGACGGCTCATGACACATCTACAGATACATTTATTTAGCTTTACATCAATGGTTCCCAACTAGGGGTGATCCTGCCCCCCCAGGGGACACAGGGTGATGTCTGGGGACATCTGTGGTTGTCACGATGGGGGCTGCTCTTGGCATTCAGTGAGTGGGGCCGGGGTGCTTCTCAACATCCCACAGTGCCCAGGACAGCCCCCACAGATAATGGGCCCAAATGTGAACCTACACTTCAGTGGCAAATTTTATGTTATGTGTACTTTATTACAATTTTAAAAATTAATTTCACCTATTTCTTACTTTAAAAAAAAATTCTTTATTTATTTCGTTGCACCAGGTCCTAGTTGCAGCAGGCAGGCTCATTAGTTGTGGCTCGCCGGCTCCTTAGTTGCGGCACGTGAGCTCCCTAATTGCGGCTCACTGGCTCCTTAGTTGTGGCTTGTGAACTCTTAGTTGTGGCATGCATGTGGGACCTAGTTCCCTGACCAGGGATTTAACGCGGGTCCCCTGCACTAGGAGCTCAGAGTCTTATCCACTGAGCCACCAGGAAAGTCCCCCTATTTCTTACTTTTTAAAAACATGGTGGGACTTCCCCAGTGGTGCAGTGGTGAAGAATCCGCCTGCCAATGTAGGGGACACAGGTTCGATCCCTGGTCCGGGAAGATCCCACATGCCGCGGAGCAACTAAGCCCGTGTGCCACAACTACTGAGCCTGCGCTCTAGAGCCCATGAGCCACAACTACTGAGCCCGCGTGCCGCAACTACTGAAGCCCACGTGCCTAGAGCCCGTGCTCCGCAACAAGAGAAGCCACCACAATGAGAAGCACACACACCACAACAAAGATTAGCGCCCTCTCGCCGCAACTAGAGAAAGCCCGCACGCAGCAAGGAAGACCTAACGCAGCCAAAAAATAAATTAATTAAAATAAATTAATAAATAAATAAAACGTGGCTGATAGAAACGTAAAAGTACATACATGGCACACATACGCTTAGGTTCCATAGCCCTGGCCCCGGTGCTGACTAGCATTCTCATGTGTTACATCTCTGTACTAATTCTGAGAAAATTATTTCAGAAACATTCAGAGAAGAGGAAGCAGAGAAGAGATGCCTTCCACGCTCTAGAGTTTCCGCGTGGAGAGCAGGCGGGAGAGATGGAGTGAGGTCAGGAACGCGGTTCTTGTCTGCCCTCAGGTCACTGTCCAGGGAATGCCTTTTCCTGCGGGAACAGCCAGTGTGTGACAAAGGTGAACCCGGAGTGTGATGACACGGCGGACTGCTCTGATGGCTCCGATGAGGCCCACTGTGGTCAGTCTGCCTGTCTGGCCTGTTTTCTGGGCTATGTCCTCTTTCCAGGTTCAAGTGCTGGCTCTCTGGCCCACTGTGCCCATCACACGCAGACACGTGGTCCCGGCATTCACTGGAGTGGGGCAGAGAAAGGGAGTGGGCACCTGTGCTATGACAGGAAACCTGAGCGGCAAGCAGAGAAGGGAGACCTTGAGGTGTGTGGAGTGGAGAGCCTCGGGTGAGAAGGAGAAAAAAATCAGGTCAAACCGTGGGAAGCCTTGAATGCCAGGAACTAGGGGTCTGTCCTATAGGTAGTGGGGAGTCACCAAAAGGATTTGAGCAAGGGAAAATTACAATTGAAATGCTGTAAGGGTAGCCAACATTTTTCTAGCAATGCTAGCCCATGCAGTAAGGTGAGAACAGTGGTTTAAATGTTGGAAAGGAAGAAGGAAAACTATCATAATTTGAATCTGATTCTCTAAATGAATCAATAAATTAACTGAAAGGATATCAGAAAAATAAGACAGTTCAACAATAAGGGGAAGATAAGATAAATACACATAAAGGAAGCTCTTGTTTTGCTTTATACAATTAATAACAGGTTAGAAGATGTAATGGAAAAGATCATAGTCTTGATTAATACCAACACAAAATAAAATAAACTTGTGTCCTGTATATAATAATAATTATCTAGAATTACAAACCATTGCTGAAGGACATAAAAGCAGACTAAATAAACAGAGACACGGCATCCTATGAAAAGATGGACATATAAAGATTTTGAGACTTGCAAAATACACGGTGAGGGAGACATTCATAGCGTCTGGTACCTGGCTGCGGAGGAGGATATAGAGGTTGATTGAAATTGGCAGGTGTGGTCGGGGGGTCCCCAAGACTCCTTCAGATTCAGTGATTCACGAGAAGGAGTCACAGAACTCAGTAAAGCTGTTATATGCGTAGTTATGGCTTATTACAGTGAAAGGATACAGATGAAAATCAGCAAAGCAAAAGGTGCAAAGTCCAGGAGAGACCGAGCTCAAGCAAGCTTCCAGTTATCCTCTCCCGGTGGCGTCATGTGGACGGCGCTTAACTCATTCTCCCAGCACCATATGTGACAACACACTCAAAGTACTTCCAACCAGGGGAGCTCACCCAAGGCTTGGTGTCCAGGGTTTGTGTTGGGGGTTGGTCACATAGGTACGTAGCATCCATATAGCTAACTTTAGGGTATGATTGTCCTAGAGGTGCTGAATCACAGGACCTCAGGCTGAGTGGATTAAACAACAGAAATGTATTCTCTCCCAGCTCTGGAGGCTAGAAGTCCGAGATCAAGGTGTCCGCAGGGTCGGTTCCTTCTGAGGCCGTGAGGGAGGATCTGTTCCATGTGGTCTCCCAGCTTCTGGTGGTTTGCTGGCATCTTTGGCATTCTTTGAATGCGGTGGCCATGGGGACAACAGACTGCAGACAGACGTGCCAGGAACGTGGCCACACTCCTGCCTTCTTGGGGGTCCTGGATAGTGATCTCTGTCTTGCAGACTGTGGATTGCAGCCTGGCTGGAGGACAGCCGGCAGGATTGTGGGCGGTGTGGAGGCATCCCCGGGGGAGTTCCCTTGGCAAGTCAGCCTCCGAGAAAACAACGAACACTTCTGTGGGGCCGCCGTCATTGGCGCCAGGTGGCTCGTGTCTGCTGCCCACTGCTTCAATGAGTGAGTGCACGTCCCTGAGGGCTCAGAGCCCACCCCACCCCTGTATCCCACCTACCTTCCACTCTGGGAATGCCACCTTTCCTGGGTGTCTTCAGAGCCCCTTGGAACTTATTTCCTTCCTTCCTTCCTTCCTTCCTTCCTCCCTCCCTCCCTCCCTCCCTCCCTCCCTCCCTCCCTCCTTCCTTCCCTCTCCTTTTTAAAAGATATTTATTTATTTATTTATATATTTATTTATTTGGCTGTGTCGGGTCTTAGTTGCGGCACGTGGGAACTTTTGTTGCGGAGCGCGGGCTCTTCGTTGCGGCGTGCAGGCTCTCTAGATGTGGCGCGTGGGTTTAGTTGCCCCGTGGCATGTGGGATCTTAGTTCCCTGACCAGGGATTGAACCCATGTCCCCTGCATTGGAAGGCAGATTCTTAACCACTAGACCACCAGGGAAGTCCCTCCCTCTCTTTTCTTTTTGTTAAATCTGAATGCATTAATTTTTTAAAATTGTGGCAAAATATATATAACATAAATTTACCATTTTTAAGTGCACAGCTCGTTGGCATTAGGCACACTCACATTGTTGGGCAACCATCCCCAACATCATCTCCAGAACTTTCTCATCCTCCCAAACTGAAACTCTATCCCTTTTAAACCGACTCCCCAGCCCCTCCCCCAGCCCCTGGCCCCACCGTCTACTTCCTGTCTCTGTGGATCTGACTCCCCCAGGGACCTCCTGTGAGTCGAATCAGACAGTACTTGTCCTTTTGTGCCTGACATTTCACTTCACCTGTTTTCAAGGTTCATCCACGTTGTATTGTGTGTCACTGCTTCTTTCCCTTTCATGGCCAAATAATATTCCAGTGTGTGGATGGACATGTGTTTATTCTTTCATCCATCGATGGACACTTGGGTTGTGTCCACCTTTTGGCTGTTGTGAATAATGCTGCTGTGAACATGGGTGTGCAAGTGTCTGAGTCACTACTTTCAATTGCTTTGGGTATAAACTCAGAGGTGGAATTGCTGGGTCACATGGTGATTCTGTGTTTACCCTTCTGAGGAAACACCATCCCGTTTTCCACAGCAGCTGCCCCATTTTCCATTCCCACCAGCAGTGCACAAGGGTTCCAATTTCTCCACATCCTTGAGAAGTTCCTTTGACATTTATTGTAAAGCTGGTTTGGTGGTGCTGAGTTCTTTTAGCTTTTGCTTGTCTGTAAAGCTTTTGATCTCTCCATCAAATCTGAATGAGACGGGGCTTCCCTGGTGCACAGTGGTTGAGAGTCTGCCTGCCGATGCGGGGGACGCGGGCTCGTGCCCCGGTCCGGGAAGATCCCACGTGCCGTGGAGCGGCTGGGCCCGTGAGCCATGGCCGCTGAGCCTGCGCGTCCGGAGCCTGTGCTCCGCAACGGGAGAGGCCACAACAGTGAGAGGCCCGCGTACCGGGGAAAAAAAAAAAAAAAAAAATCTGAATGAGAGCCTTGCTGCGTAGAGTATTCTTGGTTGTAGGCTTTTCCCTTTCATCACTTTAAATACATCATGCCACCCCCTTCTGGCCTGCAGAGTTTCTGCTGAAAAGTCAGCCGATAGTCTTACAGGAGTTCCCTTGTATGTTATTTGTTCCTGCTCCCTTGCTGCTTTTAATATTCTCTAATTCTTGTCTTTTTGATTATGATGTGTCTTGGTTTGTTACTATTTGGGTTAATCCCGTATGGGACCCTCTGTGCTTCCTGGACTTGGCTGGCTGTTTCCCTTCCCAAGTCAGGGAGGTCTTCCGCTGTTATCTCTTCAGATATTTTCTCAGGCCCTTTCTCTCTGTCTTCTCCTTCTGGGACCCCTATAATGTGAATAGTAGCATGATTGATGTTGTCCTAGTGTCTGTTAAACTGTCCTCATTCCTTTTCATTCTTTTTTTCTTTGGGGGGCAGTGATTTCCACTGCTCTGTCTTCCAGCTCACCGATCTGTTCTTCTGCCTCATTTAGTCTCCTTTTGATTCCTTCTGCTGTGTGTTTCATTTCAGTTATCGTATTCTTCATCTCTGTTTGGTGGTTCTTTTATATCTTCTCTTTGTTTAAAACGTCTCACTTCTTACTCCGTGCCTCCGCTCCTCTCCTGAGTTCTATGATCGTCTTTACGATCACTACCCTGAACTCTCTCTCGGGTAGGTTGCCTCTCTCTACCTCACTTAGTTCTTCTTCTGGGGGTTTATCTTGTTCCTTTGTCTGGAACGTGTTCCTCTGTCACCTCATTTTGTCTGAGTTGCTGTTTGTATTTGTATGTGTATGGTAGGTTCGTTGTTTCTCAACCTTGGAGAAGTGGCTTCTGGAGGACACGTCCTATGCATCCCCGCAGTGCACTCCCCGCTCATCACCCAAGCTCCATGCTCTAGGGGTTCCCTCTAAGAGGGCTGCGTGGGTCCTTCTGCCGTCGCAGGCTGACTGTGTGGGCGGTCTGCTAGGCTTGGTTGGCTGCCAGGCCCCGTCTTATGTGGACGCTGCTGGCTGCGGTTTAGTGGGGCTTGGTCACGAGGTGGCCGGTTGTGGGATCCTAGGGGGCCTGGGGTTAGTGCCCGACTCCTGGCAGGCAGAGCTGGTTCCTGGGGTCTGCCTGCAGGGCCCAGGGATCCCAGAGCTCGTTTCAGAGCATTGGTGGTGGGGGGGGGAAGGGGCAGGTTTCAGCTACAGTTGGGTATGGGTTCTGGAGCGTCCCAGAGGTGGCCTTGGCTTACTGGTGGGCAGGGCTAGGGTCTGGCCTTCAATGCGGGATCATGGTTTTCTGGCATCTGGTGTCCGCCCACTGGTGGGCGGAGCTGGGTCTTGGCCCTCTGGTGGGCAGGGCTGTGTCTAGGGGCAGCTGTGGGCTCAGGGGGAGTCTAAGGCAGCCTGTCTGCTGATGGGTGGGGCTGTGTCCCCGCCCAGTTAGTTGATTGGCCTGGGGCGTCCCAGCACTAGCGCCTGTGGGCTATTGGGGGTGGGCCCGGGTCTCCGCACTAAAGAACCAAGATGGCGGCCGCCAACATTACGTCCCCAGGGCGACCCATGGCCGCCCGCGCCTTGCCTCCCCAGGAGACCCTCCGAGAGCAGCAGGTAGGTTTGGTCCAGGCTTCTATCAGATGACTGCTTCTGCCCCGGGTCCCAGTGCACGTGGGATTCTCTGTGTGTCCTTCAGGAGTGAAGCCTCTATTTCCCCCAGTCCTGTGGGGCTCCTGCGACTAGCTCTGTGGGCCTCCGAAGCCCAATGCTCTGGGGGACCCTCTTCCTGGTGCTGGACCCCCAGGCTGGGGAGCCTGACGTGGGGCTCAGAACTCTCGCTCCTGTGGGAAAACCTCTGCAACGTGATTCTCCTCCAGTCCGTGGGTCCCCCACCGGGGGCCATGGGGTTTGATCATATCGTGAGTCCGCCCTTCCTTCTCATTTTGTTGCGGTTCCTTCTCTCTGTCTTCCGTTGGAGAAGATCTTTTCTGGTAGGTTCCAGTCTTTTTCATCGATGGTGGTTCTGCAGGTAGTTGTGATTTGGGTGTGCTCCTGAGAGGAGGTGAGCTCAGGGTCTTTCTACTCCGCCATCTTGGCCGATCTCCCAGTCTCTCCACATCCTGGCCATTACTTGTCACTTTGTTTGTTTTTAATAATAGCCATCCTAATGGGTGTGCAGTAATGTCTCACTGTGGCTTTGATTTGCGTTTCCCTAATGATTAGTGATGTTGAGCGTCTTTTCATGTGCTTATTGGCCATTTGTGTGACATTTGTGTGACATTGCTCCATCTTCTTGGGAGCAATACCCAGTTTTTTTGTTTGTTTGTTTGTTTGTTTGGCTGTGTTGTGTCTTCGTTGCTGCGTGCAGGCTTTCTCTAGTTGTGGCGAGCGGGGGCTACTCTTTGTTGCAGTGCACAGGCTTCTCATTGCAGTGGCTTCTCTTGTTACGGAGCACAAGTTCTAGGCGTGTGGCCTTCAGTAGTTGCAGCACGCGGGCTCAGTAGTTGCGGCACGCAGGCCCTAGAGCACGCAGGCTTCAGTACTTGTGGCGCACGGGCTTCAGTAATTGTGGCTCGCAGGCTCTAGAGCGCAGGCTCAGTAGTTGTGGCGCACGGGCTTAGTTGTTCCGCGGCATGTGGGATCTTCCTGGACCAGGGCTCGAACCCGTGTCCCCTGCATTGGCAGGTGGATTCTTAACCACTGCGCCACCAGGGAAGTCCCTTTGCCCAGCTTTTTTTTTTTTTGCGGTATGCGGGCCTCTCACCGCTGTGGCCTCTCCCGTTGCGGAGCACAGGCTCCGGACGCGCAGGCTCAGCAGCCATGGCTCACGGGCCCAGCCGCTCTGCGGCATGTGGGATCTTCCCGGACCGGGGCACGAGCCCGTGTCCCTGCATCGGCAGGCGGACTCTCAACAACCGCACCACCAGGGAAGCCCTGCCCAGTTTTGAACTGGGTTGTTTTTTGTTGTTGAGGATGGTCAGAATCTTTAACAATGAGAGTGGCCAATCAGAATGGAGCTCACCAAAGGTGAAAGAAGGTTCTGGAAGCCTCTGGCAGTGCCAGGCATTGCTATTTGGTTATTTCCATCTGAGGAGTCCTCGGGGACAGGACAGGGCAACAGGAAGCATGGGTTCCCCTGGGAAACCATTACCTACGAATTGCCCCAGGGTCCCTAATGGAATAGCCTGCTGGGAATCCCAGGGAAACCTGCCCCAGGAAATGACGGTCTGGTGGACACAGGTCACATAAGCAGTGACATTCAGGGCAAGAAGAGTTGCTTTTTTATCGTTTTAAATTTCGTTTCTCTTAATATTTTATTATGAATATATTTAAGTAGAAAAGATGAAAAAATAGGACAAACACCCATATGCCAGTATCTGATTTCAAAAGTTATTACTATTTCACTGTATTCGTTTTTTCTCCCACTCTCTCCATCTATCTGCATCTGTAATTATTCACACACACATTCATACATATATATCTTTGCCAAACCATTTGAAATTAAGTAGAGAACATCATGACACACGGCCTCCGAATCTCCCGCATGCATTTGTGCACATAGAGAAAAGAGTCTCTCACACACCCACATACCACTATCACACCCCAGAAAATTAAAAACAGCCACGCAGTGTTATCTAGTAGCCAGTCCGTATCCAAGGCCTCACTCGCCTCACCCTAATCCCAGCCGTGTTGGATCCTGTCTTTGTTTAAAATACTGATAATTCGTGCACGTTTTGTTTTTGGGTTTTTTTTGGCAATCATTCTGATTTTTGACAATCTTGCATGAAAATATTATTATTCTTATTTGCTGCATTGGGTCTTTGTTGCTGCGCTCAGGCTTTCTCTAGTTGCGGCGAGCGGGGGCTACTCTTCATTGTGGTGCGCGGCTTCTCAGCGCGGTGGCTTCTCTTGTTGCGGAGCACGTGCTCTAGGCGCGCAGGCTTCAGTAGTTGTGGTGCACGGGCCTAGTTGCTCCGCGGCATGTGGGATCTTCCCGGCCCAGGGCTTGAACCCGTGTCCCCTGCATTGGCAGGAGGATTCTTAACCACTGCGAAACCAGGGAAGTCCGAAAATATCATTATTAGTCTCGATGGCTGAGTTTTGGGGCGCCTCCTTAACACTTGCCCGCTGGGTGAGTGCCTCACCCTCCGGCCCCATCCTCAGTGGGCCTCTGAGCGGGGGTTTGTCTGCCCTGCAGATTCCAAGACCCCACCGAGTGGGTGGCTTACGCGGGCAGCACCTACCTCAGCGGCTCGGAGGCCAGCACGGTGCGGGCCCGAGTGGCCCGGATCATCACGCACCCCTTCTACAACTCTGACACGGCCGACTTCGACGTGGCGGTGCTCGAGCTGGGTGGCCCCCTGCCCTTCAGCAGGCACGTGCAGCCCGTGTGCCTCCCAGCCGCCGTGCACGTCTTCCCGCCCCGGAAGAAGTGTCTGATCTCGGGCTGGGGCTACCTCAAGGAGGATTTCCGTAAGCACCATACCGCCCGCAGCCTCTCCAGGCAGCCAGCAAAGCCCAGCCAAGCAAGCAACACACCGTCCGGCCTCATTAGCCGCGGATTCTGTATTTGCGAATTCACCTACTCGCTAAAATTCATTTGTCTCCCCAAGTGGATACTTGTGGGGGGAATCTGTGATTGTTCCCTGTTGTGCAATTTGAGTCGTTCCCAGCTGAGGTGGAGCTGGGCAATACCCTGCCTCTTGGTTCAGCTCAGACTGGAAACCAGTGTCCTTTTCGTGGTCTATTTACTGCCACTTTTTTTTTTCTGCATTTTTGTGCTTTTTGTGGCAGGTTTCACAAAATCTAAACAGGCCCCAAGCGTAGAGCTGAAGTGCTGGCTAGCGTCCTAAGTGCAGGAGGGCTGGGATGTGCCTAATGGGCAGAAAGTACGTGTGTTAGATGAGCTTCGTTCAGGCAAGAGTTACAGCGCTGTGGGCTGTGAGCTCAGTGGTAACGAATCAACCGTGTATGTTAAGTGAAGTGTCTTTAAGCAGAAACACACGTACCATCATGAGGTTATGTACGTACGGATCGGCTGTGACCGGAGGCTCTCAGGAACCTGACCCCCTGTAACCCCCGGAGCAGTGGGGCAGTGTTCACTGATTCAGTGTTTGGGTCATTTTATAGAACAGAACTGCCTCATATCGACTGTAACCTGATGGTGATAAATGCTGGGAAGGAAACCAGTAGGAAATATGAGTTGGGGGCGGGGACAGTTTTAGGAAAGGGCCTGAGATGGTGACACTTCAGCTAAGACCAGGCTTCCTACTCCAGGGACTGGGCAGGAAGCAAATCAGACAGAAACCCCTGTTCACATGGAGCCCCCAGTCCAGACCAGCGCCTCCCAATAAAACTTCCCTCAGTGGTGGACACAAGCCACATCTGTGCCATCCACAACGGGGGCCAGCAGCCCTAGGACACGGGCTAGCGCTACCAAGAAACTGAGTGTTACATTTCACTTCATTGTAATGAATTTCCATCTGCATTTAAATAGCCTCACGTGGGCAGTGGCTACCATACCCAGACAGAACAATTCCAGGGGGCAGTAGATGATGAACAAGATAAGTGGCAAATGGTGATGTACAGAATGGAGAAAAATAAGGCCGGGGTTGGGGGGGGTCTGCAATTTAAAATAGGAGATGAGAGGAGGAAGGCGGACAGATTCTGCAGGGACAAGCATTCTAGGCAGCCAGAACGGCATGTGCAAAGGGCCTGGGGTGCCAGGGTAGGTGGTCCAAGCTTGGGTATTTGGATTGAGCTGGGCGGGTGTGGGGGGGACACCCTGGAGCATTTGAGGAAAAGGTTACGTAATCTGATTTAATGTTTAGCCAAGATGGGGCTACGGCTGGACTAAGAAAAGATTCCAGCAGGTAAGGGGGAGCTCAGGGCGGGCAGGTTTGGGGAGGGGAGGGGAGGAGCCTAGTCTTGCCACTTAGCTGTCCAGGCCGAGAGGGTGGTCAGTGGGCATTGATGGACCTGGCTCATTTCTGATCTGGGGCTGCAGCAGCTCCACCGCAGCTGGGGAAACAGAAGCTCAGCCTCCTGGCTCGGGGTGGCTGCCAGGGTCCTGGAGTGCTCACCCTGCTTGTCTCTCCCCATGCTGGGCAGTGGTCAAGCCGGAGATGCTGCAGAAAGCCACCGTGGAGCTGCTGGACCAGGCCCTGTGCGCCAGCCTGTATGGCCACTCGCTCACCGACAGGATGCTGTGTGCCGGCTACCTGGATGGGAAGGTGGATTCCTGCCAGGTGAGCCCGGTGCCTGGGAAAGAAGCCAGAGGCCCCAGACGCCGCCTTGCCAGCCCCTGAGGGGAAAGGCCCCCAGGTTTCCGCCCGAGGTTCCCCTCTCCCCGGAAGGGGGAGTCTTCTGTTGCTGGTCCACCACCTAAATTTCCTCTGCTTGGTTTGTCACATGGCTGTGGATTTCCTTTTTCTTTTAATTTATATCTTTGCTCTCCTTTCTAAGGCCTGGTGGGTGGGGAGCGGCTGCTACATGCGCTCAGGGTGCCACCTCAGAGCCAGGAGCTGGAGAAAACAGCGGGAAATAGTGAGAGAGCGCCTGTGTTTAAGGATGAAAGAGTCGCGGTGAGCTGGGTGTGAGGAGAAGGCAAAGGATAGCAAGACAGGATGAGTGAGGGCAGATGCGGCCCTGCAGGAGCACGCCACGTGATGACTGGAGGTTCCTAAGCCACTGGTGACATTACCCAGGGTCTGCTGGGCTAAGGAGAGGAGGGGATACTGTTTATTTGGGTTGGGTTTTTAACTGCCAGTGGTAGAACTGAAAGAGGTCTTAGAGATCTCATAGTCCAACTGTCCTATTTTATTTTTTTAGAAGAGGAGTCTGAGGTTCCGAGATGTGAGGTATCAGCCCACATGTGCTCCGTGAGCACGTGGGGAGAAGGCCCCCAACCAGGGCTCCTTCTCTGACCCTGTGGCTCTGGGATTGGGACCGGCTGCAGCCACGGAGCCCCGACCCCTCCTGAGGGTGTGCCTTTGTCTCCCAGGGCGACTCGGGGGGCCCCCTGGTCTGCGAGGAGCCCTCCGGAAGGTTCTTCCTGGCCGGCATCGTGAGCTGGGGAATCGGCTGTGCAGAAGCCCGGCGTCCGGGGGTGTACGCCCGAGTGACCAGGCTGCGTGACTGGATCCTGGAGGCCATTGCCGCTGCAAGCAAGCCTCTGGCCCCCACGGCGGCTCCTGCCCCGGCCATCCCCAGCACCGCCTGGCCCACCAGCCCACAGAGCCCGGTGGTCAACACACCCACCAGGCCCACGCTGGCCCCCAGCGCCGTGCCTCTCGACTCAGCCACTGCATCTAAGCCACAAGGTATTTTCTGGGGAGACAGCAGAAGTGGGGGTCCGCTCCGTGCGGGGTTGGGTGGATTGGCACTGGCTTTCCGAAGCTGTCTGTGGGGAAGAGATAGGTGATTGATTAGTGATGTCTGTCAAATGCCCAGGCAAAGGCTATTTTCACATTTACTGCCTGATGACACCTACTGCCTGCCTGGAGGAGGGTGTACTCAGAATATCCCGAAGGGTCAGCAAGAGGCCAGTGACCGTGACGATGGGGCCAGGGTGGGAGAGCGACTGACCTGGGGTCACCGCAGACACGAGCACCCACACGAAGCACACAACTTCTCCACCTGTCTCGACTTTGTGGTTTCCGAGGACCCAGGTCCAGTCACTGCCCGGATCTGACACTGATCCGCCTTCGTGGTCCCACAGACCTGCGAGGCTCAAAGCCAGTCGAAACTCTGCCTCTTTTTTTTGTTTTTGTTTTTTAACACAAAAATCTCCTTTATTCTTGGTTGCTCCTACTCAATCATTTAACAATTCAAGATTTATATTGTAATTAATAACGTGAAATTCTGACAGACAGTGGTATACAAAGTCAATTAAGATGTGCTTCCCATCTTGATTAAATATTGAAAAATAAAGAGTAGGAAAGAATAGTAAAGTACACTCCCATTAGAAAGAATACATGATTTATGTTGAGTACATACCAGTTTTCCAAAGTACTGTGTACCTGGCCAAAGATATATTGCTAAAGACACACGTACACAGGGGTACACACACGTGCATACAATCAAATAAACATCGCACAACACATAATATAGAAAGTTATATGTAACAAAAATGAAAAAATTGTGATATTATGTTGTTTTTGCCTATGGAAATGAGTATCAAATTAACTTCTTTTCATTTTTTTCTGCTTATTTTATTATTTATTTTTTAAAAATTTTTTATTGGAGTGTAGTTGTTTAACTGTGCCTCATTTAAAGTCGCCTGCACCCACCCTGCCCCCAAGCCCGGAACAGCCCGACTCTGCCTTTGTCCAGGGCCGCCCGGGCTGTGGCCTGTGTCTGCCGTGCTGACACTGGTGGGGACAGGGCTGCTGTGGTTTTCACTGGTGGGAACAGGGCTGCTGTGATTTTATCTTCTTTTTCGCCCATATCCCCCCAGCTGGGCCGCGTACTTGTACTTGAGACCTTAGGGCTCCTTTAAGCCTCGATTTCTTCATGTGTGTGACGGGATGGTTGTGCCCTGGCCCAGCCAGAGCCTGGAGGCTGTGCCCTGTGTCCCGAGGCCCCTCTGGAACCAGGGTGGTCCCGCTGCCCGCCAAGCGGGCTGAGATGCGCGGGCCCTCCTGTCTCGTCCCCGCAGAGTGCGGGGCCAGGCCGGCGCTGGAGAAGCCCACCCGGATCGTGGGCGGGCTCGGGGCCGCCTCCGGGGAGGTGCCCTGGCAGGTCAGCCTGAAGGAGGGTTCCCGGCACTTCTGTGGAGCCACCGTGGTGGGGGACCGCTGGCTGCTGTCTGCCGCCCACTGCTTCAACCAGTAAGGCCCCCTCGGCTCCCCCGTCATCACCGGGTCCCCCCACCATCAAATCCCCGTGCATGCAGAGACCACTTAGGACCCAGCACGTGGCCAGGGTCACGTCCAGCTGCGGGGTGCGGGGTAGGGGGCGGATGGGGAGCAGCGTGAAGAAGTAGGGGGCTCTGGGGAGTGGCTTCTGGGAGGATCCTGTCGAGCTGGTCTGTGAGGGACACAGAGGGGCCGAGTTGGGGGGCAGGCTCCTCCCCTCCACTCAAGGGCAGGTGGCATTGACCTCTGATTGTCACAAAGCCGTGGGGGTCTCTCATGCCTTCTTGTCCCAGAAGGAAATGAGGCCCGGGGGGGCTCCCTGCCTTGCCCACGGTCTCGTGGTGCCCTCCCCGGGGCCTGGGTCCTGCAGCTCTGCCCGGTGCCCGGGGGGCGGCAGGGAGTCTGAGCGTCCCCTTCCCGGCAGCACAAAGGTGGAGCTGGTGCGGGCCCACCTGGGCACCGCGTCCCTCTCGGGCGTCGGCGGGAGCCCCGTGAAGATGGGGCTCAGGCGGGCGGTGCTGCACCCCCAGTACAATCCCAGCATCCTGGACTTCGACGTGGCCGTGCTGGAGCTGGCCAGGCCCCTGGTCTTCAACAAGTACGTGCAGCCTGTCTGCCTGCCCCTGGCCATCCAGAAGTTCCCCGTGGGCCGCAAGTGCGTGATCTCTGGATGGGGCAACACGCAGGAGGGAAACGGTGAGCCTCCGCCCCCCACCCCGCCCGGGGCTCTGGTCCCACCGCCCGCAGACCACTCACCTCTCCACTAACTCGGGGTCGCAAAGTCCGGCCCATGGGACCAGTGCGGCTGCTTTTTATAAATAAAGTTTTATTGGCACGCAGCCATGCCCACTCACTCACTGACAGCCCCGGGCGGCTTTCCTGCTACAAAAGCAGAGCTGCGTGGTCCCAACAGGCTGTCTGGCCTGTAGAGCAGAACGTATTTACTCTGTGGCCCTTTATGGAAAAGGTTTGGGGACCCTTGTGCTTCCCTTTGAGACCTCAGAGTAGCCCCCTTGCAGGTCACCCAAGGTGCTGGGGAATCCGCTCAGGGACAGTGGTGAGATTCTAGGGTGACTTTACATCCCTGCAAGGCCGTGGGCCTCCGGGCCTTGGCCTGTAGGACGGGGATGGCGCCTCCCTCTGGGGTTGTGGTCAGAGTGAAGCCGGCTACTGAACAGTGGTCCCCGTGTAAGTGGCCCTCGGGGGTGGTCTCCTTGTCCTGGCAGCCACCAAGCCTGACCTCCTGCAGCGGGCATCCGTGGGCATCATAGACCAGAAGGCATGCAGCGCCCTCTACAACTTCTCGCTCACGGACAGGATGATCTGTGCGGGGTTCCTGGAGGGCAAGGTTGACTCCTGCCAGGTGAGTCCAGGAGGGACCCGGTTTAGAGAGATCGTGATACGTCCAAACAGAAGATGAGGCAGCAGTTTTCAAGTATGTGGTAGATCTACACAAGATATATACACACTGATTTTAAAAGCTGTCTCGTATATGTTAACTGAAGAAAAGCTAATCATACATGAGTACGTATATGACCACCCTGTCACACTTGACACGTGGCTGACCCATTTTTAAGGGGAAACAAATCAGCTCCAGAACATAAAAAGAAGCTAGCTGAACCCTGCTATCAAGGCCAGAGAAACACAGAGGTGAAGAAATTCAGGGAGCTCCCTGGCGGTCCAGCGGTCAGGCTTGGCGCTTTCACTGCCTGGTTGGGGAACTAAGATCCCACAAGCCGCGTGACATGGCAAAAGAAAAAAAATTTTTAAAAAGGAAATGCACAGGCCAGTCTTACTTAGAAGCATAGATGAAAAAACCCTTAATAAAACATTAGCAAATTCAAGCCAGCAGGGTATGTGTTATAAGGGAAACACATCACAACCAAAGTGAGTTGATGTCATAAAAAGTTTGGCTCCACACAAGACAATCCATTAATGCTATTCATTGCATTAGTACACTGAAGGGGAGAAACAGGATAATTGTCAAAATCACAGAAAAAAGCATCTGATAGTTTTTTAACAACATTTTCAATTAAAAAATTAAAAAATTCTAACCCTATGATAGACATATAATGGAAACCTACAGCACATCATGCTTTAAAGTTTTTTTATTTTACTGAAGTATAGTTTACTTACAATGTTGTGTTAGTTTCTGGTGTACAGCAAAGTGACTCAGTTATACGTCTGTACGTATATACATATATACATATATATATATATTCTTTTCCATTAGTTTATTTCAAGATATTGAATATAGTTCCTTGTGCTATACAGTAAAGCCTTGTTATCTATTTTATATATAGTTAGCGTGTATCTCTTAATCCCAAATTCCTAATTTCCCCTTCCCCTCTGGCAACCACAGGTCTGTTCTCTTCTGTTTCTGTTTCACAAATAAGTTAATTTGTGTCATATTTTAGATTCTACATGTAAGTGATATCATATGGTATTTGTCGTTCTCTTTCTGACTTACTTTGCTTAGTATGGTAATCTCTAGGTCCATCCATGTTTTTGCAAATGGCATTATTTCATTCTTTTTTATGGCTGAGTAACATTCCATTGTATAAATGTACCACATCTTCTTTGTCCATTCATCTGTTGATGGACATTTAGGTTGCTTCCATGTCTTGGCTACTGTAAATAGTGCTGCT